CCGCCTTTACCAAATAATTTGCATCAAACTGATCAATTTTCTTCTCAAAAATCTTCAATGCAATTCTTTTCTCAAAAAGCAGTGTAAACGAAAAGGTTGCGCCATCTAATAAACGCCTTTACAATTTGAAATTGAGCTATAAACACGGAAAAAATATGAATTTTTTGCAAGAGTAATTATTGTTCGAAATCTCTGTTACATTCAATCATATATCCATCAAATATATATTCTTTATATTCAGATATATCAAATATATCAGATATATTCAACCACATTAATTTCATCCGTCATCTATATTCACCATGTTCAATCAGTTCAATCAGTTCAATCAGATCATACCACGGTTGTAGTGAATGACATATTATTGACAGGGAATCCCGAAGAAGCAGACCGAGCATTGATAAGACTAGATTGAACACGCCTTGTATAAAATACACCAACTGGATCCATAACATATTGAGGTTGTGTATTCCTTACAGTAACGTTGGTAAAAGTTTGTCGTACTTCATAAGATTGTTGTGAAGAATGACTAGAGTATACCATGTTTGATGAATTTGATGAAGAGGAAGAAGTGGTGGTTGGTATATTAAAATAGGCGGAGACTCGTCGAGAACTAGAAGCACTAGATGGAGGAGTTGGATAAGCTATGGTCTGAGCATAAACCTGTTGTTGAGATTGTTGTTGAGGAGCTTGTACAGTTGAATACATAGAATAAACGTTTGCTCTTTTTGGTGGAGATACCATCATTCCATCCACAAAAGCTTGTTCGGCCGACCGTTTAAAACCAGTAGCCATTGATTGAACAGGAACAAGAATTTGTTGATGTTGAACAGGAATATATTGTTGTTGTTGTTGTTGTTGAGAAAATTGCAATTGTTGTTGAGAAGATTGTTGAGAAATAGAAATGGAACAATCCGGAGAAGAATTATCATCATCATGAAAATTATCGCCAATTCGAAAGTAAGTAGATAAATTTTGAACCCAATCGAAATATTGTTTCTCTGAAACGTATAATTGATAATTCAAAGAGCCCAAGAATTCCATTTCCATAGTATTTATCTCACAAACAGGTATATTAGTAACTTCAGACCAAGTTTTATTAGTATAAGTATTGTCGTCCAAAAATTTATTAGCCAACATAAGAGCCACGGTAAAAGTTCTATATTCAGAACCATTTTGACCTTTTATTGTAGGATTATTTATCTTCATCCTATGAATATATAATAGCGATAAGTGAATGACCGATCGAGAGACTTGAGTGGCCGAAATAACATCATGACAAAACTTCTTGAACGCGTCTCTCGGCTTAAAATCGGGAAACCTCCTGTGACCATTCCCACCGGGGGGTGGTATTATCGAAGAAGAATCCATGATGTAATCACCAAACCACAAGAAACAAGTCATATGAGCTGCGAAATCCGACACGCGTTCTGGAAGAACATGTTCAAACGACGAAGAATCACTTATTATTGAAGTCGTTGAAGCAGTGGTGGTGGTGGTAGTAGTAGTAGTAGTAACATTATTTTGAGAAAAGAATTGCATTGAAGATTTTTGAGAAGAAAATTGATCAGTTTGATGCAAATTATTTGGTAAAGGCGG